AAGACATCCCCTGAAAATAAGACCTAGCGCATCTTTGGGAGCAAAAATTAATATAAGACACTGTCTTATTTTCGGGGAAACAGGGTAGGACATGGGAAGACAAAAGAAACTATCACAGAAACATGACAGGTGACAGATCAGTACTTCACAAATTGCAGGGAGGACCATAGAAATGGGTATAGGACCATGATCGGGACTTCCACATTATGCTAGGCAGAAGAATTCACCAGATAGGCCCAAGAAGGCCAGTCCCACAAGGACACAACCAGGTAAATCTTGTAGGGAGCCTGCCCCTTCCTGGGCTGGTTAGTGGGGTAGAAGTGCCACAATCCATTTCCTAATGCACTCTGCCCGAGGACAAGACTGCTGACATCTCTGGTTATTATTGTTCAGAAGGAATTCAGTGCAGGCTTAATCCATATGGGAACTCTGCAAATCGATTTTGAGCCTTCACTCTTATCCATAAGCCTTCTGCAAACCTGGTGCTCAGAAGTTAAATTCTGATACACTATCCAGGAAGAGTGACTGTTCCTTTAAGAGGGACAGCCCTAATGTACACTGGGATAACTTTTACCACCATTATGCTCATTAACAAAATAGACAGTTGCAACAGCTCCCTCTGTGTAAGGTTTTGATTAAAGTCTTTCAAATGCTAACTAGCCTCCCATGGAGTGCATATTCCTGATTAGTGTTCTTCACATGTTAATTTATTGCCCCTGGGTTATAGATTAAAACTGACCAACTCCCCCTACCCCCTATTTCCCTCCTCCCAGGTTGAATTTAAGTCTCCCTGCTTACATTGAAATCTCCTAAAGTGAATTACAGACACTATGCTATCTAATTGAATCCTTATAATAACCATGTAAAACAGACTCTAGTTTTATCCCCATTTCATAGAGATCAAATAAAAACTCAGGCTTGCTGACCTAGTTAGCAAATGTGAAGCCCAGGATTCATCTAAAACCTACATGGTTTTAACATTCATGTTCTTAACTCTTGGGATTAAAATTGGTTTAAATCTAATTAGTAACTACACTTGAAGCATTATTTTATTGAGTAATTTAAAGAAAAATCAAAGTTATTATCTGAAGCCTGTGTCCTCACTTTGGGCAATTCATACCCTGGGAAAGTAGAAAATAATACAGTAGAGGGGTCGCAAATTAGAAGTCCTTTCAACCTAAGATAATCAAGGAGCTGGAGAGAATGAAGAAATTGTCGTCTGTGCCCGTGAATGCAGAGTTGCACATGCTCAGATTAGGCTGAAAATGTGTGTGTGTTTGGATCAAGGTAAGAAACTATGATTTCTATAAATCAGTATGAACTCTCTTGAACACTTAGATGGGGTCACAAGACTCACAGCTTAACCAAAGATAGCTTCAGGTATGATCTTTTGGGCTTTCTCTTTGTATGGTCTAGCTGTCTGACAGTAATAAGGAATGTGTCAGCCAATGTTCTAGGCAGTGCACTGCTGTGATGGGGGTATGCCTTTGGTTAGTTCTCACAGGTTTATTCATGTGCACCTTTGTCCCCTTTCTAGAATGCCGTGTCTTGAAGGCATCTTATTCTCGCTCTTCAGCTGTTAAATATTCTGGATCCAAAAGCCCCGGGCTCTTCCGACGCAGCAAATCACCAGCCTCAGGTAGGAAACAAAAGTGGAATGGGTAGTAGTAGACCATGCTCGTCCAGATTGGCCTGTACTTATTGGGCTTCGGGATAAGGTTGCTAAAGGCCTGCTGGTGGGGTTGTGGTTCTGTGCTGAGCTGCAATCGGCATGCCCGGTGGTTTGAAGCCACCCGCAGCTCCAAGGGAGAACTGGGCTGTCTACTCCGATGAACAGTCAACACCACAGAAACCCAAAGGGGTCACCATGAGTCAGCATCGGCTTCATGGCAATGAGTGAATCTGTTTGAATAGAGTTACACAGGAGTCCTAATGATGTCGTGGTTATATGTCGGGCAGCTAGCTGCAAGGTCAGCAGTTTGAAACAGCCCGCAGTTCTGAGGGAGAAAAATGAGGCTTTCTAATTTTCTGTTG